TTTTAATGAAAGTACTTTAAATTTATTGAAGAAGATTGACTCTGTCACAGCTAAGCATCATGCTGTTTTTTGCTCCATTCTAATTTAACGCTTTATCTGATCGACCAGCTGGCTATGATTGCTAGTGGCACATAAAAAGCATTTGAAGCTCGAGATAAGATATTGCATGATCTCAAGTGATGGTGTCATTGCGCTTTTATTATCAGCTGACTTCCGGCAAACACTTCCATTTTCCACGTTGCTTTGCAACGAAAACCTACCACATCTTCTTTTCTCCTAAAATCCAACCTTTGCTTCACGTCTTGAGAGGAGGTAACAGGATAAAGAAATGGAATTGCTGGGTGTGTTCAACATATTTGACACCCGGATAATCTCAGGTAGTCCCTGCTAGTTGAAACTTAAGGAATCAGCACATATGCTAGGCCGCAAAAATCTCCTGAGCCGACCAAGCATAGAAATGAATACAATATCGGAACCAGTAATAAAGTACCAGAGAAAAGCAATAATAACAACAAAAATTGTTATATGGGCTCTGGTAAAAAATGGTTACTGAAGACATTAGCTTTATAATACCCAGAAATTAATACCCAGATGTCTTCAAGGACACATGTCACAGTGGATAAAGGCGTTAGTTAGATCCAGTGACAGGACCCAAACAGTGTGAGTTCAATACTCGGTTAAGGCAGTGGAGAGCTTCCAGAGGGAAGAGATAACTGATAAGTGGCATCTAATAAACATGGCACCTGGAACTAGGACAGTCTACCCCAGTGAGCGAAATAAAGGGTTCAGTTCGACATTCCAACCACCTGAAGAAGGCCAGAGCATACAACGGCCGAAACGTTTTAATAAATATGGCGACAAAGATGAGGACAATAGTCCGTATAATGTAAATAATGTATTGCTGAAAATGTTCAACATATTTGACACCCGGTTAATCTTGGGTTGTTCGTTGCTGGTTGAAAATAAATATATGCATTTACATTTGGTTCATATAAGAGAAAGAATAATAAAAAACTTTTTAAAAATTTAGAAATGTTTGAAACATTTGTTTCTTACTCAAAAGTAAAATGGATAATTTAAAACTGTTTTAAAAAAGTTTTTTTCATTTCAGTACTAATTTATATTTTGATAATTTATCGAATTAATGTAGCAAAACAAAAATATCAGAAATGATTTACTGAACATTTGCAACGGAAATCTGAAAATATCTGATGAAATAAACGCAATAATAGAAAAGGCTTTATATAAAATGCGCATGCGTAAGGCCTTTGCTGACATTTAAAAATTTGTTTACCGTCCCTGTCGCTGTTTGTGTGATGCGGTTTTCACTATGGACATTTTAAGGACATGTTTAAGAAAATATTTTTGCAAACCTCACGTATCAAGCTAAGGATGTTTAAAAGTGTTCGACATATGGAAATCTTCTTCATCTATACAAACAATCACACATGTGGTATGTGTGTATAACTGGAGTGTCCTACCCCGAACGTATATCCTGTTTTCTGAAAATATATAGGACATACTTCTTATATATATATATATATATATATATATATATATATATATATATATATATATATTTGGTTGGATAGATGTGAGTAAATATGTTAGCTCTATCTCTGATATTGAGCGCTTTCTAATAAGTACTGCATATATAATATATACGTAATTATATATATATGTATATTTATTTATACTTATATACACACACTTTTCAAACACATATATATATATATATATATATATATATATGTGTGTGTGTGTGTGTGTGTGTGTGTGTGTGTGTGTGTGTGTGTGTGTGTCTCAAATCCTCTTTAAAAATTTGTATCACTTATGTATCCTTGCTTGAAACGACTTCTAATTTCTTCAGTTGGAGGAGGGCTTGGGGATAGTATTCGTGACCCGTGGTGGCACAGTCCTATGGGTAAGGAAACTCGGATGAGTTCCACCACGGAATATGTGATCGAGTGGCGCTATATCGAGTCTAATTTATTTACCTCTTCGTCACCGACTTCCGTTGGTACAGTTGGTATCGTAATGATCTGGGTTTCAATTCTCGGTAGTGGATGCGCGCTGCTGATGAGTCCCAAAATATAGGACGAAACGGCCGTCCAGTGCTTTCTGCATTCTGTTAAGTTTTCTTCTAGACTCGATGAATTACTTAATTATGATTATTTTAAATCCTCCTAATTATTTTTCTTAGAATGTATATATATATATATATATATATATATATATATATATATATATATATATATATATATATATATATATATAATGAAATGGATTAAGTATAATGGATTTGTATAAACAGAAATATATATATATTAATTCTCGGTAGTGGATGCGCACTGCTGATGAGTCCCAAATATAGGACGAAACGGCCGTCCAGTGCTTTCTGCATTCTGTTGAGGTTTCTATCAGACTCGATGATTTACTTAAATATAATCATCAAATCCTTCTTATAATTTCTTGTCATGTACATCATTGTTTGAACCGG